AGTTTCTAGCCGACAGTTTCATGGCAAAAAGCTTAAAATTGTGACTCAAGTTCTCTCTAAAGACTCACAATCCAGAAGGCAACAAAAAAGAACCCAACATTTTTAAAGCAAATTTCATTACTTTCACGATTTATGTACATCTGGAATTGGCAGTAGTGGATCTCGGGCTATCATAGACTTCTAGATACCAAGGCCAGAAGGGATCTCTGTGAGAATCTCAGATGACCTGTATAACACAAGCCGCAGAACTGTCCCGAATTAATCCCTGTTTGAACTAGAGTAGATTTGCTAGAAAAACATCCAATCTTGATGTTAAAAATTGCCATGATGGAGAATCCACCACGACCCTTGGTAAATTGTTCCAATGGTTAATTATCCTTACTGTTAGGGGAGAGAAGTAATTTGTGTTGTGTGTGTTCTCTATTTGTATACAATTCCCCCTCTTTGAGGATTATCTCCAGCTGGGGTTAGGTGACAGACAGACAGTCTGTTTAGACAGGACGTGCAGCTATTTCTGTTGCCAATATGTAAAGTTCTTGTTCACATCCTTCTACCTTCCAAACAGGGCCGGCTCTAGGCACCAGCAAAACACGCTGGTGCTTGGGGCGGCACATTTTTAGGGGCGGCATGGCCGGCGCCAGAATGCCGCCCCTAAAAATGTGCCCCGGCCTCCCTAGCTCACCTCCGCTGCTGCCGCTTGTGCACCACGGCACGCGAAACAGCTGATTCGCGTGCCACTGCTCACCCTCCCTCCCAGGCTCTCAAACCTGGAAGGGAGAGGGAGATCCCGAGCGGGAGTGGGCCGTGCGCGAAACAGCTGATTCGTGCGCCGCTGCTCCCCCTCCCTCCCAGGTTTGAGAGCCTGGGAGGGAGGAGGAGACTCTGAATGGCCGCAGCGCGCGCGCCGCTTCTCCCTCTCCCTCCCTCCCTCCTAGGCTTGAGAGCCTGGGGGGAGGAGGCAGGGCTGGGGATTTGGGGAAGGGGCGGAGTTGAGGCGGGGCCGGGGGCAGGGTAAGAAAAAAATGGGGGGGCGGCCAAAATTGTTTTTGCTTGGGGCGGCAAAAATCCTAGAGCCGGCCCTGCTTCCAAAGAATGGCCGCTTAACTAGGTGATAGTCCATGATAGTTCGTTTGATTATGCTGATACCTGCCTGGGGCACCAGTGTGTCTTTGTCTCTGAAGAACAGGTCTGGGCCTGATTTTCTAACTCTGGAATATGTCACAGCAATGAAAGATTATAAACTATACAAAATGTTGATCATTTATTAAAAATGGGAAATGAAGAGAGGTGGTGAGAAATGACAAATGATGCAAAATTCACAAAAATACGAGAAATGCGTAGTCGTGGTTAGCAATGGTTTGACTTTTTTTTTTGGTCAGAAAATGCCAACTCATCCAAACTGACATTGTTCAAGAGCCGTTGTCAGCTTTCATGAAACACCTGATTTGAAAAACATTGGGTTAAAAAAGTTTCAAGGTTGTCAAGGAGTTGCTGAAGGACAAATAGTCGGAAAAGCAGGAGAAGACCCAGAAGAGCAGTGGAGATGGAACAGAGACCAGATCCAGGAGAACAAGGATGTGATAGTGTCCCTCCCAGTGAGCTCAGTGGCGAGCGTGCTGAGGCTTTGCTCTTCCCCCTCCCTCCTGCCACCAAACAGCGGGTAAACCTACTACTGGTTATCACTGCTACAGGCACACTCTCTTCTGGCTCCCAGGGCCGTGGGGGTGCCTCTGTTGCAGCCCACTTGGTCTCTGCATCGGCCACATTATTCCCTTTGCATAGGGGTCCTGTTTTCTTGTGTGCCTTTGCCTTTACCTCATTGATCCGTGTAAAACAGTGACTGAGTTCCTCCACTCGCTTCCACCAGTTAGCACGCTTGATTGTGGAGCCATCTGTTGCCCTGAAATGATTATCTGCCCACCATCTCAGCATTGACGTGACCCCACAAAATACATAATCAGAATCTACCACCATCCAACAGTCTCGCTCAAATTTGGGATCCACTTCATTTAAAGCTGTTAGCAAGGCTGTCAGTTCTGCCTCCGGAGCTGACCTTGCTTTTAGTGAGAAACCAATGGTGCTGACTGTCTCATTTCCTCTGATTCCCACAACAGCTAAGCCTGCAGTTTTCTGTCCCCCCGATACCTACAACTTCCATCCAAAAACCATACCATTGTCCGCTCCTGTACCTGATTGGGGTTAGCCGCCCGAAACACCTGATGTTGGGTTTTACTTGGGCTGGCTTCACGTTGGTGTGCGGTGCCAGCCAGGTGTAATCCAGCTACCCAGACTTTAAGAACTTAGGTAGCGGATTTGAAGGCACACAATGTTGCACGGAGAAAGGAGTCTTTAACACTTCCTGCTTTCATGTTTTCTGCCTGTAGAGCCAGCAACCATTTGGCAATAAGCTGCCCACTCACTTGTCCCTGTAAGATAGTACGCATGTTTAGCAGTCGCAGGGGGTCACGATGAGATCGGACTATTACTTTCTGCATTCCCAGGAGGTATTTGAATTTCCCTACCGCCCAGTAGGTGCACAACAGCACCTTCTCACCCCATCCAGACTTCAGTTCCACAGCACTCAAAAGTCGAGAGGCAAAGGCCACAGCTCGGTCCTTTGCTCCATATTCCTGTGTTAATGCACAACCAATGGTGGAGTCAGATACCAAAGGGTACAGATAAAAGAGTTTCTCCCCATCCGGGGAGGCCGGCACTGGAGCACTGGCCAGGTTTTCCTTTAGTACTCTCACTGCCTCAGGACACTCTTCTGACCACTCCCAAGTTGAGGCTCGGGTTAGGTCAAATAGAGGCTGGGCTATTTCTGTGTCATTGGCCACAAAATCCCTGCAAAATCCAGTTAGACCCAGAAAACTTGGCAAGCTTTTAACATCCGTAGGCAGTGGCAGGGACTGGATCAGTTGCACCCGTCCCTTATCGATTTCCCTTCCCATCTGGGACACTTCCACTCCTAAGTAGGTCACTCTTGTCTGTCCCATCTGAGCCGTTTTCCCACTGACGTTCAACCCTGCTCTTGCCAAAGCTTGCAGGACCTGCTCGGTTAGTTCCCTGTCTTCCTCCTCTGTCTGTGACATTAGCAACAGGTCGTCTACATATTGTACGCACCTTGCTAAATCCACCCCCTTCAGAGCCTGTCTCATGTATCTGTGAAAAATTGCCGGGGAGTCCCGATATCCCTGGGGTACTGTCCAGCAGAACTGTCTGCCCTCCCATGGGAATGCAGTTTTATACTGACATGAGGTAGCTAGTGGCAGAGACCAAAACCCATTCGCTATGTCCAACACAGTGAAAATTTGGAATTGGGGTCCAATGCGGGCTAGCGTTTCAGGGTATGCTGCCACTACTGAGGGTGGTGAATTGGCCAGAGCGTTTAGTGCCCTGTAATCCACAGTGAGGTGCCAGGTACCGTTTGGCTTTCTCACTGGCCACACAGCAGCATTACAAGGGGAGGCAACTGCTCTAATCAGTCCCCTCTGTCCCAATTCCCCAAGAGTTGCCCCCACCTCTGCCAATGCCCCCCGAGGAATAGGATATTGTTTCTGTGGGGGAGGGTCCCCTCCCTCTAGCAGTACCTCCATGCTGCCCCTACCACAATCCAGGTTATCCTTAGCCCACACAGGGATGTGTTCCCACCCTGCTGGGGATGGTGGGAGGCCATGTGCTGCTTTAATGGTCAGAGTGGCTATCCCCATAGGAATGGTATAGCCCTGACCGTCCTGCGTCTGCCCCAGTAAACACACCCAATTGGCTAAATCCAGTACAAGTCCCAGTTTTTGTAAATCTCCTGCCCCCAACGGATTAAGCACATTATTATAACCCAACATAATCTCCTCCTCCCCTCAGATTCCTTTGATTTTGTCCCCGCCTCATAGTTAACTGTGTCTCCCCTCCTGTTGCCCCTACAATTGTCACAGTTCCTTCTGAGGGCCTCCCCTGCCCCCCTGTGGTTAAGCTGATGGCTGTCTCCTCTAAATCTCCTACTCTCCCCAGCAGTTCATCCCTCTCTCTCCGGATTGCCTCACAAGACTCCTCTCTCTGCGCAGCATCGTGTGCCTTCAAATCCGCTACCTAAGTTCTTAAAGCATGGCCTTTACAGGCAGGCCTGCATATCTATCTCCTAACAATATTTTCATAAAGCATACGGAATGCCATAACACCTCCCCTTGGAGATTACTGTCAGAGGATTGGTCACTGTCCAGTGAAGAGGCAGTATATCTAAAATTCCTGTTTGGCTTCGGTGACACACCCACCCAGTGTCCGTGAACATTGTAATGTTATTCACAGGTGTCTTTGCCAAGTTCTGGGTTTCTGTTCCCAGGACACCTGAAAGCATTTTGGGGTGTAGCATTGCTAACAGGATGCAGATAGCAATATTTGTTAATGTGTAAGTGTCTTGGCATTTAGACACCAATGCCATGAGGTGGTGTGCCTCAGTTTCCCCTTCCACAGAGCAGTTTAGGTCTGTTCTGCTCTTGCTGCTGTACCAAGCACTAAGCCTGTTGACAGGTATAAGATGAGAAGCAGCATGCTTGTGGGACTTTCCTGTTACTATCCCTAGCATGTACAAAAGTTTTTCCCAAAAATTAGGTATGTCACACATTTCCAAAGGATTTACCATCAGTATCAATTCCTTTGTCTTGACCCATAGAGGACACAGTAAAAGACACCAAAACACCAGCAAATCTATGACAGAGGGGCGCTTCCTAGTATATTCCTTATACCACGCCCTCCATTCACACAGTTTATCTTGTCCAGTGTCTATTGCATTTTCCAATCCCTTTATGTACCATGGTAGGTGTTTAGACACAGATTCTCCTGTCTCTTTGGAGGAGGCTCTCAATTCAGGTCTGTGTTTTTGATTTTGGCAAAGAAAGGGTGCACTCTGCCCTAAGCTGTGCCTTTTACTTCTGTGGTTTCCGTTCTCTGAACTTCCCGTCTCGCTCTCACATGTGACTCTGTGCGGATGTTCGGATGACTCTGACTACCACAGGAGATTTGATTGAACTTGTCCGGGGTGGAATGGGAGGTGGATTGCTGGTCCCTGGATTCTACATTTCCTTCATCCTCCAGGCTGCAAATTGCAACCCCCAGTTCCCACAAGAGAGAGTTTGATCACCTGCTCTCAGCCCCTTATCTGCAAAATGGATCTGCGTGACCTTTGGTGAGTCCCTCAGATTTTTTAGATGTTTTCTGAGCCTTTCACAGCTGCAGTCTATCGCTGTCTGGCAGGCAGTCCCTGGACGCAGTGCCGGGTTTACAATGGCTCCAGTTGCTCCATGAAGCCAGGCCCATGCTCAGAGCCCCCTGGTTGCTCCTGCTTCCAGAAGCCATGCAGAGCTATTGCACGCGTGGAGTGGGGCAAGCCCCAGACCCCACTCCCTGGCTAGAACTCAAGGACCAGAGTAAGAGGTCTGACAGGCTGCACATGGCCCACAGGCCATATTTTGCAGACCCCTCATCACATACCTCTCTGCCTCCCTTAGCTCCTCCAATTCCGCCACCCTGGCCTCCAAAGCCCGTACGCGGTCTCTGAGGGGCAGGAGCTCCTTGCACCGAATGCACACATACACCACCCGCCCACAGGGCAGGTAATCAGACATGCGGCATTCAGCCCCCACTCTGCAGCTGGACTTCTGCCTGCGTGGTCTCCTGCAGCTGCCTAGTTAATGAAAGGGTTTTGTTTAAATCAAGAAGTTTTGAATGTAGTTTAGGGTACAGGTTTTAAAGAACAGCAAGTGAACCTTGCCCCCTTCCCACTCCCCTTCCCAACTCCCCGTTAGCCGCCCTGATCACAAAGCTCCCTGGATCTGGCTGTATCAATTCGAGTAGCTCTTTGTCCCTCCTCATCGAGCCCCAGCTGAGATGATCTTGTTCATCTTCCAGATCCCAAAAGGAGCAGGCAATGGGCGAAGCAGGAATTTCCCAGCCCTGCAGCTCGTGCATGACACCCCTCCTCAGACCGTCACCAGAGAACCAGGGTTCAGGGACTCAGGTGAAGGATAGCTGGTAGCTCAGCATGATCGGGGCTGGAGGACCCAAGTCCTTCCGGAACATGTCCCATGAGCTGAGGCAGCGCACCACCAGGACCCGAGGGGTTGAGAGATTCCCACAAGCTCGATCTGCAGGCGCTGAGCTGCGCAGAAAATCCAGACCTCCTGCCCATTGGCTCAAGTGGCCCTTCAGGATGTTCGTTGTTGCCAAAGAAGTGTTGCTGAGTCTTTGGTACCGCTTTGCCCCGCAGCCCTGGATCCAGAAAGTGGAAAGGTGGAAGGGGCCAGAGCAGCTGAGCGTTGGGAACCTAAAGAAAGCTCAGGGCCGACTGCAGTCCCGGAGACTGATGAACCCAGAGCTGAGAAGGTGCTTTGAGCTGGCCCTGGAGGAGTTCCCCTGGGAGCCCCTGTGTGTGCAGAACAACACCAAGTTAGTCATTGAGCTGCAGGGACATGCCCAGGTGGGATGGGGCTGGTGTTCATCTCCGGGGCGGCCAGGTGTGAGATCACAGTGTCCCACACCAATGGGAAACCCCACTACCATGTGCAAGAGCCCACGGGGGACGTGTACCTGGCCAGGTTATGCTCCCGTCCCCAGAAGCTGAGCACCAAGTCCCTACAGGGTGTGCGGGATGCGCTGGAGAAGTGGGGGGTGCTGCACGAGGAGCTGGGAGCCGGCTTTGAGCGGGCCCTGGTGGAGTTCCCCCGGGAGCCCCGGTGTGTGAAGAGCAATGCCCGGATGGTGATCAGGCATGACCACACCGAGCTGGTGTTTGTGTCGGGCCAGGGGGAATGCGAGATCACTGTGTCTGAAGGCGACGGGGAGCCCTGCTATGAGGTGAAGGAGCCCATGGTGACGGTGTATTGGGAGAGGTTACGCGTTCGCCCACAAAGGCTGAGCGTGGGGAGCCTGCAGAGAATCCGGGAGAGGCTGGAGTGCTGGGAGGTGATGCCTGAGGAGCTACGAAGCTGCTTCGATCTGGTGCTGAGGGAATTCCCCAAGGAGCCGGAGTGCATCCGGGACAACCCCAGGATGTGCGTTGCCTGGGACGAGACGAAGCTGCGGCTGATCTCAGAAGATGGGGACTGTGAGGTCTCTGTGACCTGCTGTGATGGGAAGCCCAGCTATGAGGTGAAGGTGAAGAGCTGGGCGATGTATCAGGAGAGGATGCATCTCTCTGAACAGCCACTGAGCATTGAGAACCTGGAGGGCGTGCGGAGGGAGGTGAGGGGTCTGTCAGGGACTCCCAAGAAGGTCAAGGAGGCCTTGAACGAGGCCGTTAGGGATTTCTCTGCTGAACTGGGCTGGCTGCAGGAGAACGCCCGGCTGGTCATTGAGTGCGACAGGGGCGAGATGGTTTTTGTCTCCGGGAAAGGGGAGAATAAAGTGAACGTGTGCACCATTGATGGGAAGGTCAGTTACAATGTCAGAGCCACCACATGGGTGACTTTCCTTAGGGAGTGCCTGGAACTACTCTACAAACTCCCTGAGGCCTTGCTGAAGCTCATCTTTAGCCAAGCCTTAGGCCAAATCCTATCAAAGCTGATAATAGGATAGTGAGGTGACTGGCCTAGACCCCACTCCCCTGCCAGAGCCAGGGAGAACCCAGGAGTCCTGGTGTGACGTTGTGCAGTCTATATGGTTTTATAAAAACTTGATAATAAGTCAATATAATGTAACTGAGATAGTTTTAGAGAAAATACGGTAATAAGTGAATGTAAGTAACTGGGATATGCCTCACGCAAAAAGTAT